TAATATTTAGATTTTCAGTGAAAATTGTTCAGTTTTATAACTTCTTTGTGCTCTAAAAATTACCAGACAGTGACTCACCGAACCCAAGCTAACACCTGGGTTTAACCAAGGGAATATTGAAGACTGTCCCTCTCAGAACATTGATTAACTTGCTGCAGGTGGCAACAATTTATTTAGTCCAACTGAGGGAGTGAGAAGCTTAACAATCGTTAACCATTTATGCCAAAAGGTTAAGTTAGTGATTGTGGAAAAGGTGATTCTCTGTTTGCACATAGATAATGGCTGCAAAAAAGGTTAGAAATGACAAATGCATTTTTTTTAAATGCTGGAAAAAATAATGGTGACTGAAACATTTGGGGTAAAAATGATTGGAAAGAAATCTTGAATATGATTTGTCACCATCCAAAAAACATCAGCAACAAAAGTCATGTAAATGTCTCAATTATTTTGGTAAATGGTGCTAGGTTGGACAAACAAACAAATCATTTTGCTGAATATGATAGACTCTCATAAGAACTACACTACTACTTTAGCAGCAAACATTCAGTCGATGGACGTGTTTCGTTCACACCTCTCCTTATTTCAAAGGACCTTCCATTTTTCTCTTGCGAAATGTCAGAACATATTACAATCAAGTCTGCCAAACATGAAAGCAATTAATGTTGCAAATTTGTTTTTTTTAGTTGCTTAATAACTCACAGGTGTGTGTAGTTATATTTGCTAAGACATTCAAAGGTCAAACAAGGAATTTGGCTGCATTTCTCTGATTAATAAACCTTTGGCAGGATAAACATCTTTTGATCGTTCCCTTATTCACACACAAACATGAGATATGAGCACGGAAACCATCAGCTGTGTTACATATTTGGTGTCATCTGGGAGAACAGGCTTTGTATATATTTCTGGTGAGATTTTAGAACCAATAACTAAACAATTTAAGGATTTGAATGGATAAAAGTTAGACTTCAGTCTACAATCTTATGTTATTTTTTGTTTAGAATCACACAGCATATATTTCATGAGAGAAGATAGAGCTGCTAATGCTTTGTATGCTCTCAAATATTTATTGAATGCAGAATATTTATGTCCTCTATTCATTTCTAACACTTCTTCCGCTGCCAGAAACAGAATAAGTGAAAATGGTTACAGTCCAGGAATCACATCGCTCTAAAAAAAAAAAAAGAAAGAAAAAAGAAATAGTTTTTCACTAGCTAACTACAGACGTCTGAGTAAGAGCAATCACAAAAGATTTATCCAAAAACTCAATATCCTGTAGTGGATCTGCAGCATTCATAAACAATTTCAGCTTCTCTTGTCTCATAAACCACATTCAAAACTTTAAAACCAGGTGTTTTGGGGCTAAAACAGATTTCAAAGGAAGAGTATGGGTTCACGATAAGTAAAGGTGAAATTAGGTTATTACTATCAGTAAATCCCACTCTGCACTTTTGCTTTAGCTGATTATTTTACCCTTTTTCATTCAAGATGAGCTTATCTGTTTACTCAACCACTGCTGCAGTTTGTCTTGATGAAAGCCTCAGGACATTTCACTCAACAGTTCATGTTTCTGTTTTTCTGTTCATCAACAGTTTATTTCTGACCTCTGGCTCTGAGTTTCAACGCACCTTTTAAACTTTCTGCACACGGCAGAGCCTTGATGTGTGTTGGTGGAGAATCCAAACTCAAGCCGGAGGCACGCAGAGTCCGGAGAAACGAGAAGTTTAATGAGGTGACATTATGAAAGTCTGATCTGATTTAATTCAATACTATCTTAACTGTATTCATTTGAACTGGTGTTGTCACTAAACAACCTGAATATGTTTGATTTTTCCAGTTTTAATTTCAGTCTCAAAATGTCCTCCAGACATTACCGCATCTCAGATTAATAAATATTAGGCGTAATTTACTTAAAACAAACAGTGTTTCTCATTGAAAGTCCACCATCATCATATAATGGAAAAATTACAAATCATGTTAGTCAGCGTGAGTTACGCAGGACTAATTAGTCTTACACGCTTCAAAGCTCACAGAAACATCAAATTAATTTTTTTATGTCAACTTTGCATCTATAATATTACATGTTAATTACAATCACTAAAAGTGCAACATTATTTAATGTTAGCAGGGGTCTGAGAATTTATGTAGAGCAAGAGTCAGGACAAATCTTCGGTTCAGGAACTGCACTCACGAACAAAAACTAGAGAAAAAGACTAAGTGGGTGATCTGATTAGACTGCAGAATTTCTTGCTGCACAAATTATCATATTAATAAGGAAACCTAATTTTCTTTAGTGCTTGGTTTGAAGCCAAGTTCAAAAAAATACATTCTTTGCACTATATGAAGACAAGTTCAGTATGTTGACAAAGGATTATGTGAAAACGAGTGCACCGATTTACTTAATTAATAAGCATTAAAGTTACTGCTAATCTTTAACGTATTATGAGCACACTGCTGGGATATTAGGCGGTTCAAGCGTCTCCTGTGGCGGCACAGCGGCTCACTTGTGATTACTGTCGCCTCACAGCAAAAAGATCTTAAATTTGAACTCAAATAAAGCATGTGCAGTGCATTCTGCTGCTGAATCCACACTGAACCCCTAATTGAAAAGGATAAGCATACTTTTAACTGTGCATGCACGTAATAAAAATAGCCGTAAAAGTCTTTTCATAATGTTTTCAAATGCAATTCTTGAGAATGAACATCTTCATTTCATCTGACTGAGGTCTCGATCTTTTCAGATGTTTACAAAACAGGTGTAATTTTGTTTGATTACATAAAATTTGCAAGATATTTTGAAGGCTATGATTTTAAAGCTAGACAACATTGTCCCAATGCTTCTTTACAGAATGCAAATCTACTAAATTGAATCCATATAAAACCCTCTTCTTTGTAAGAGGATTTCGAAAACAGTTTAAAGTGCCAGCTTCTAAATAGTTTTAAAGTGATTTCAACAATCACTGAATAACAACATCCTCACTGAAAATCTTTCCTGAAATAAATTCCTTCAGAAGGCAAGCTACGGTCAGAAGATCGAAGGAGAAAATGTCTGAAGATTGGATGTTCAGGACACAAATCTAGCCATCTACACACCTCCAAATAAATATGATCAACATTATTCATTTAAATTATGAATAAGCAAACCTTCTTTATTGCTGTTTTTCCCATAAATTTTTAAAACTTTTTATTAACTTTGTTGGTCTGAAGTATAATAGCCCTCGTGTTAGATGATTTAAATGACTGCTGTTTACAACCAGTAAAGGTTTTATTGTTAATAAAATGTCAAGCAGTGTTTATAATTTTAAGAATTTTACGACATATAGGTAAAATCATGCAGAACCTCTTCAGAGCTCAGTTGCTCTACCCATAAACACAATGGGTAAAATAGGAAGGACACGTTTTCTCTTTGGGGAATATTAAGGAACAACTTAACTTTGCAGCCAGGCGGCTGAGTTTGGACTTGTAAACAAAGCCCAGGAGCCCTGAAGCTGTACTCTCAGTAATTAAAGCAAAAGATGATGCCAGAATCTGTTGCTGCCTGTATTTTTGATCACAAACAATTCCAGTGAAAACTGCATCTGGACGCTGCATCTTTCAGACCCTGTAATCAACTCAGAAAACGTAAAGTGGACTGAAACTATGCAGCATGTTTTTAGTCATACTGACCACTGAAGACGCTTTAGGAACACTTTAGTACTCGAAACACACACACACACACACACACACACACACACACACACACACACACACACACACACACTAGCAGGTATAACTTATACAATTTGTTTGTGCCTTCAACAGATTGCAGGAGGAAATTGGAATCAAACCTACAACATTTGAGTCCTTGACCCACTGAGCCACAGTTATCCCCACTGGCATGCAAGAACATAGACAACGACAACATTTCTGCCACGGTATATAAACAGTAGAAAACCTATTAATTTATTTGTTTCATTTGCTGCTTTACATCAATGAAGAGGTGCTGAAGACCAGTCCAACTCGGCCCAGTGAACAGGCTGACGTCCCTCTCTGGCAGTAACTCAGCTCTCCAAATGCCTGCAAATGAGTCATTCATTTGATCCAGGTGTGTTACAGAAGGAATTCATCTAATAGTTGCAGGATGTATACAGGGTGCTCAAAGCATAGGGAATGGACTTGAGCACCCTGCTTCAATGGGATGTGCTTTGCAACATTATATAGCCCATTTTGCCAAATGATTTTTTCATCTGCAAAAATATTAATCTGTTATTTTAAACCTTCTGAGGTCAAATATGAAGCTAGCCCTCTGCAACTCTTCAAGAAAAGCAATTCACGATTAAGGAATGTGTTCAAGGGAACGTTTAGCCATTTTAAGGAGAGCATTTGTGAGGTCATACTGATGTTGGTTGAGAAAGCCTGAGTAGCAATATGTACTCTATTTCATTCCATCGGTTTGATGTCAGGACTTTGTACAGGTTAATTAAGTTATTCCACACCTAATTGAAAACCAGAGTTGGAAGCATAACACTATCCACAATGTTTTAGTGAGCCGAAAGATTACAAGTTCATTTTACTGGAAGAAAGAGGGCAAGCCCAACTTCTGGAAAACAGCCAAGCTTTATAGTAGTCTGTAATGCCCAATCCAGACTCTTCCAGTAACACATAGAGGGAGCACTCAACGTTTCAGAAAACGTTGAGTGCTACGTTTCTGGTCTGTATCACCAGGAAAAAAGCACATTTTACAACCTTTTGCACCATATTTTGTGATATGCTTGAATCCACCTGCCTGGCCAAGGAAACCCATTCAATTAAGCTCTCGATCCACTGTTTTTAAACTGATCCAAGTGAAAAAGCTTCCACTGACTCTACTCTGTGACTTAATGTAGCTTAGCACTTTGTAGGGCTAAGCTATGAAGCTTACCACTATGACAGTAGCTCATAGTAGAGCTACTGTCAATGTATAAAATAAAATTCTCCGTACTCTTAAACAATGTGACTAGTTTGAATCAGAAACATTGGATGTGTTAGACAAAAACACAATTTAATGAGACTTTTTATTCTGTAAACAAACTGATATACTTTTTTTCTATGGCACAACATTACAGGAAATACACAGAAACATCTGCTATGTTTAATGTTTTTACAATAACTTTAGCATGTGAAACAGTGCTGTACATGGTCTTTCTACTCTTATGATATAAACTACAAACTGTCTAATTTGGTAGGTATTTACATAGTTCTTATAAGATTTAGACTCCATGAATGTAGAGTTTTTCTTCTTCGAAACCCCTCAGCAAACAGAACCGATGTGGAACGTTAATGTTTACAAATATAAACAAACACTATGCACTGACAAAATATATGTAAGCTCATAAACAAGATGAAAAGGCTAAAACAGCCTGCCGTTCAAGAGTCAAAAGTCTATCGCTAGTAGAAAAATGACTCTTAGTTCTTTGCCAAAAATAAGAGTATCTCTAGAACCGCAAAAATTTGACACCACTCCATTTTTGTTTCCATCAAGAAGGAAGTTGCACTCATGACGTTTTTGTGTTGTTTCCCTCAGTGGTTCCTGGAGTAGAGCCAACAGAAGCGAAGGGGTAAATAGGTTTTTGAAAGAGTTTGGTTAGTTTGGCACAGTGCAGTGTGAAACCACATCCTGGTGATTTGACAAATGCTGCAATCTTGGTCCCCAGACAAACTGAGTGTTTCTGATTCTGATCCCTCAGTGGATCTGATCAGAGCTCCTGACTTAACTCTTCTGTTGTTGGTGTATGTCTGTGTTTATTTAGACATAGACGCACACATGCCTACTGTTATCTAAATAAACAAAACAGTGCAGGTCATCCATATTTGATGTCGCTATTCATAATAAACTGTTCTGACTGCTGCACCGTCTGACAGGTGGTCACATTTCATCAATGTTTTTCTCAGCACAAAATGACAATTCTTTAGTTGAAGTTAGGTTTTAACTAGTCATCACTGCACTTATTGGCATTTCACATTGGATTTTATGGATTTATGGATATTTTATATGTACATAGCTCAACATATGTATCACGTGTACATATGTTGAGCTGGACAACAAATCGAATTGTAGCTGTTGTCAATTTCAGTGTGTGCAGCAGTCCAATCACAATGAACTGCAGTGTGGAATATTTGGTAGGATATTATATTTCAACTGAAAGGCTTTGGTGGATGCCCACACCGGGGTCGAGTTTAGCTGACAAGCTGGTCTTTAGATTTTAAGATGTTCAGTGCAAAACATTTTCTGTGAGTTTTGTTGAAATATTTTGGTGAAAGCTAAATATTAGCAGGTCTGAGATTATTGATTACTGTAGATGTGTGTTGATTCAGACGTCTGGAAACAATTGAGTTTAACTGTCAGAGCAGCAACTTTGTTGGGACAAAAATGTGATCGTCGTCAAGAAAAACAAATACTGAACAATCTTAAGCATCTGATTGTGTTAAGTGGACTTCAATTACAATGTGGAAGTATATAATAAAATAATACAGCATTTTCTACTCTTAATTTAAGGCCCACAAAGTTTGTAGCTGACCAAAATAGTGTACTTAAACTGAGAAAGAGCCTTAAATGAGAATTAAAATTAAACTGATATAAAACATCTTTAAGGATTACTGAGAGCAAGAGAGAAGACTATCCCTACATGAGCTTCTGACGCTGGTATATAGTTAACTATTTATTTATTATTTAGTTCAGAACTGTCACGATCATATGATTAAACCAAGCAGAACTTTTTGTTGCCCAGTCTGACATTGTATTTCAGTTTTTATGGTTTGGACTTTGGAGCGTTAGCAAACTGAAGAGTTGTCCATTCACTTAGCCGTTTTCAGCAAGGAATGGTCAAAAAACAGAATGATGTCACTTTGCCCTAAAGCATGTAACAGTCAAGTCGTATTTACTAAACTCACAAAATCCAATTAAAGTTTAACGTTGACTTCTAGAAAATGTGAAGAAAGATGGAGCTGGATTCAGGGAAGCACTGCTTGTTGGCTTTCAGTACATTTCTGTCCTTCTCAGTTTGCATCCAAAGTTAAGTCTTCATTTTAAAAAACCTGTCAAGTAAACAAGACCAGACACTACACTTCAAAAAGCTGTGGGCTAATTCAGCCTTTTCCTCTTCATCTGAGACATCACAGATGAATTTCAGTTCAACCATTGCAAATACTGAGTTCAAAAACAAAAAAACAAAAAAAAAATCTTTACAGAAATCAGTTTAGTTATTTCTTTCAAACCCGTTTTGAAATCATCTCTCTATGAAAACTTCCTTTCACCTCTGTATCCGCAGCTCCTTAATTTCACAGGAAGATGAGCCATAAAAGGCAAAACCATTAACATCAGCGGAAGATATTTAAAGCAGAGACAAAGGCTGAATGTGCTGGCCAGTGACGAGAGCAGCCAGCAGGCTCTTCAGCCTCCTATGTCCATCCCCATCACTTCATTTTGCTTTCAAAACATCTAAAGTACATGTTGGGGAAGGAGCACTAAAACTAGATCTCCTAAGGATAAAAACGTGAGAGGCTATGACAGCAGCAAATTGGCTTTTCTGTCCTGTGAGCCTTACTCCAGACTTTCCCCCATCTGCATGGGAGCAATTTGAATCGGGCAGTAATTGCTTATATTGCTTTTCTCCCAACACCGTTTCTACAATGGAATTTGATCTCATTACTTTTGCCCGCGGTTGAGTTCTCAGCCGCTTGGTGCAGGGAGAATAATGCTAAGTGGTGTGTTAACAAAAAAAAAAAAAGGAAAGAGCGAAGTAACTTTTGTCATGCTTTTCGGTGCGTGAAGTTAGAATAAGCGTACAAAACGTGACGGCGCATCATTTTGAACCTCATCTCTGTCTTGTCAAATGAAGCTATTTTTAAGAGATCCTTTTTTATTTTTCACAAAATGGTTCAAATGTGACTTCCTCTTTTATTAACTCGTTATGTAGTGGGTTATTGTTTTTCTTAGCATGATGAAGACAGAGGAAGAGCCAAAGGAACAGCAGAGAAATGGATGCAACATGAGTTATGAAATAGAAATCAAAAGCTGTGCTCCCGCCTCGTTGCAGTCAAGTAGACTGGGTACGTTTTTCCGGAGAGTGTGTGGCGTATGTTAGCCCTGGGTGACATGCTTCTTTGTGAAATACTGTGTTTTACTTTTTTACTTTAAAAGACAGGCAGCTTTTGCCCAAAGAGTACTTTGCAATTCACCAAAGTACTCACATTGAGGAAAGGTCACTTAAGCAAATAAACTGAAGGATGAATAATGTCTTATAAATGCTTCAAAAGGCAAAAAAAAAAAAAACAGGTTGGGATATTTTACAGTGTTCGAAGGAATAGACACAAACTTTTTTTGGAGGCATTTACATGTCTTTTCCGTAACTGTCGACTGTGTTTCACAGTGAGGGCTGCAATGAATTCGACACCGATAGTGACTGTAAACTCTAAGCTGAAAGAAAAGTCGAGTCTTCAGTCGTTCCAGCATTCCCAGTTCAAGAAGAGACCTGGCAGAAGCAGCAATGGCAGAGCGAGCTCGGCTTGGCGAGCTTCTCCACGCTGACTCCCTTTGGCACCTGATTCCGTGTCAGAGTCCTTCTCAGAGTATGGTGGGATGACGTTGAACTCTTCATTTGCTCCCTCTTCCTGTTCCTCCTCTTGGTCACTGTCCTCCATCTGTGGAGGAGAGAAAGAGTGATTGCTCCAATTAGCAAGAGCAATGAAACATGGAGGGAAGGTCAAGAAGAGTCAGTCTACATAACACGGAGTTTGCTATGAATGAAAATACCTCAAAGATACAAACAAAATAGTCAAGAAGAGAATCTAAACCTTCAAAATGGCCTCGATTTAGCAAAGAAATCAGCATATTTTGGGAATGTCTGCAAAGTTCTGCATCTGCTCCACAAAATGAACATTCAGGAATAGGACTGAAAAGAAACAGGCTGTTGAACATGAAAAAAAAAAACCCAAAGAGAATGAGGTCATAATAAAATATTTCATTGAAACTGCTGCCATAAGACGGCCATCGTTGTTGGATATCTCTGCAGCAACTGGAAGTATCCTCCACGGGGCTTCACTCCTGTATGGGCTAGCATAATTTCTTCTCTAATGTCTAAATAAATAAATATGTTATACATTATATTTACATGCATAACGCAGATCACCTGGGGGACATCCTTCTGCTTCAGTATACGTGACATCACTATCTTCCAGGGTTCCCTCTCCCTTCCGGCATCCTCTGTTTTGCATTTACAAAAATGTCACAGAGCGAGCGCCACACTTTTCTGCAGGCAGCTTCTTCCAACAGACAATGACCTTGCAAGCCCCCACAAAACCAACAGCTTCCATGCGACCCACACAGCAAGAATCAATGCTGAATTGTGACTCACAAGACCCACTTGATTTTATTACATTTTCATTTATCTCTTACCCTAAAACAATATTATTTGTGTAAATTTAAGTTTAAAAGTGGAAGATTCAATTAGATCAGTTCTATTATTTATTTTTAATGTTTGTGACACTGTTGGTGCAAAAACAGTTTGTAGTTTTTGTGATAACTGGCAATCACAGAGATACTAAATTTATTTTTTTAGCTAAAAGTGATAACCTGATGAAGAGACATTCTGCTTCTGGATATTTTTTCTACAAGTGCGTTTCACTACAGCACTATTTATGTCCTTCAGCTACAAGCAGCGTGTTACTTTAGCAAAACAATTGAAGTGGCCGTCACCTTCCACTTTGGAAGGTATGGAGATTTTCAGGTTCAAACAGGCAAATCAGCAACTTGACCTGTAAACTCCCCTGAGACGTTACATGAATCAACAATGATCTAAACTCATACATAAATTACACACACCAGTCAGTGTCATTTGATTTACTTTACTGGATTCACTCCACATCATCGTAAAGCGGCATTTAAATGGAAGTGTGCAAAAGAAATTCAAAAGTCAAACTGCAGTTCTGGGTCTCCTGAGGTTGCATTGCAGAAAGAAGATATTTGCAATATAGGATATAGAAGGATTACAACTGTACATATGAACCAGATGAGTGCACTCCCATGAATATTAACTGTAAAGATTGCAGCAAACACCTACAGCTAATCCTGAACCACACTGAGAGGTGGAGATAGAAGAGGAAGTGAGACAAGAATAATCTGGGATTATGCAGGAAGCTGCTGGGCCTCAACTCACCGCTATAGTCCTCAGTGAAACATTGGCGTTAGGATTTGATGTGCAGTCTCTTGACTGGAGCTGAATCTCTAACACCAACACACAGTGAGAAAGTAGCAGGAGTGTGTGCTTACACTGTTGAATTCAGGGAGCGTGTTGACGCTAACGTGGACCCTCTCCTGGAAGACGCGAGGGGAGGGCTGAGAAACTGGCACTGGAGTGAGCTCCACCGGAGGAGGCGCTGAGATTCCCATGGAGCTGATGGCATTGCCTAAAAACAAAATCAGCAGGGGACATCTTCATTAGTTTCACATCTTAATTCCGCTTTGAATCATCACTAAAACATTATCAGTGTGTGTTCTCAGCTGAGATGGAGCCAAATACTCCAACTTCTTCACTATTAATAATAAAAGTTACTTTTTGATGATCTTAGTTTAGAAATACTTTTTTGTTGTTGCTAAAGAGAGATTCACTGAACTAATTAAAATCTTAAAATACACGTTTATAGTAAAATTACTCAAAACATTTGAAGAACCAAACCATCATTTTTTACTTTATTCAATGTTGATATAGAATTTAGAGTTAATAAAGCTTTATTTTGTGTGTCCAATGACCCAATTCTGAATTTAAGATAGTTACAACCTATTTTTTGGTTTTCTAAAAGATGGCAATAGATTTAATATCTGACAAGAATCCCAAAAGTTCAGAAAAGAGGCTCATAACATCGTAGTTCCTCCACCGTCCATAATCGACCCATGAGGTTTATTTACACACATTCATCCATTTGTTGAGAATTTTTATCAACAGGAATTTTGTAAAAATAATTATTGTTTTCCTAACATGATATTTTTCACACTGAATAAAATTTAAGTTTATTTTAGTGTTTTTACACATTTTTTCTAATATATTTTTTCTGGAGTTCTATAAACGATATCACAAAAATGTAAACTAAGTATAACAGAAATAGTTACATAATAGCATATGTTCCTGCTCAGATGCAAAGTTTCCATCTAATTTCAACTTGCAAAAGCTGATTCTGGACATGGCTGTGGCCATACAGGACAAAAACCTGTCCAGAAAATTACAGTTTAACCAATTAAAAAAATAATAAACACAATTTACATTAAATTATGTGACTCAATTATCAGATCCATGTATTAAGAAATATATACTTTCATGTTAAATTATTCGAGAGTCAGTTTTCCGTCACTTGAAGTTTTTCCTCTCTTATTTTTAGCTGTTTGTCTAGAGCCAAGAAGGGAGGAGGAAAGCAGAGAAATATTTAAGTGTTAAACTGAATGCAGAAAATGTAGCTGGTCACATCTGGATGGGCTGTTTAATCGCCAACATAATGAGCCCTGCCACAGGCCCGTGTGCTGCTCACACATGGTCACTCTGCAGCGCAGAAAAACATTACAAACATGAGCTCCACAAAGTTAACCTTTTGCAAATGGCTAAAGAAAGCAGTTAACTTTTTCTCAGTTTCTTAAAAAAAACATGATTAATTCATTTGAGATTATTCATAAGCATCTATTTAATATAAGAATGGGAAGAAATGCCAGTTTTCTGGAATAAACCAGCAACTGGTATCTCCAGGATATCTATCGTAGCCGAAAGGCAGGCGAAGGCAGGCATGCAGAGTTCCCATTGTCTTTCACTATCTTCACTTTGCATTGGTATGCAATCATAACTAATCTGAGCCTCAACATTATTTCTGGAAGACAATGTTGCAAGTGCTGTACGCTAAATGAAAATCACATAGAGGCTGATTGTTAATGAGGCCCCTCATTGTGAAATCTTATTTCTAATTAAAACTGTCTGTCTCTCCCCTATTGCTTTCATTTTTCTTTTTTTAGTACAGCACATGCTAAACAATGCATCGTTATATATCAGCAGAGCATCCTGAGCGAGAGCTCTAGATGCTCCTTCTGGTTTGGCAACGACTCAACCACAAGCCACTTCCAGCTGATCAGATTTGGTGAAAGGATTCATTGACTCTGCTGAGTTTCAAACTCACATTCGCATTTGGCAGGCGGCCAAGCACCAGGGAGAACATCTCTCGCTGTTCATTTATTTATAAGAAAACATTATGGTTCAGTGACTTGCCCTCTCAATCATCAATTACGGCCCACCTCATTTGAATTCTGTATTAATGCACATTAGAAAGCGCTCAGTTAGATTAGCATCTCAGCATTCATTTAGATGATACTTACATCTGACAGCTGAAATACGACATCTCCTCTGTTATTACAGTGATACAAGGATTGTCAGCTGCAAGTTTATTCTACAAAGTATAAAGACATGATCAAAATTGGCAACCTAAACTGCAGCATTGACTCATTAACATTTCAGAAGAACTATAATTTATTTTAATTGATGTTTCTTGCCACATTTCAACCCAGAACTTTCAAGTAACTGTGGTTGTGCTCTCAATTTTAATGATCTGTGATACATGAGGCCATTATTCACAATATTCTCAGAAAGAAGAGGGAAAACAAAAACTTCCACAAACTGCAGCAGCTAATGTTTGTATTTAGTTTAATCCTTACAGTAGAGACTTCTGATGGTAAGAGAGGCGCAGGAGATCACAAGATCTTTTATCTTCTAACCCTGCTTCTTTTCAAATTATGTCGCGTTACATGTTAGTTTCCTTCACTATGTGCCTTTTTATTATAGTTTTGAGAATTTGAGTTACATGAATAAATAAATAAAACCTTAATTTTATTTATTTTGTTGTCTGGTCATGCCAATTACAGATGTAATCCCTAAAGACAACAGTCTTTAGAAAATTTGATTGTGATATTATTGCATCCCAGAGACTTTCAGATGTTAATATATGCAAAACTGTAATTCCAGTTATTCAAAATGATTAGATTCGTTTACTGTGCCTCTGTCTTCTTCTTAAATTAAACAACGTAACAGTTTATTTTATTTACTTTAACAAAAAGCATAGAAAGTAAGCTTTTAGGAACACAGGGAAAAATATTTCTCATTTATCAATATACAAATTACTTATTGTTAAGTTGGGCTCTGAATGAAGAGCCATCTGGGAGGCATAAGGGAGGAGACAAATCTTTGAGAATCAGAGTCAAACCTCCCATTACTGCTCTTCTCTTTTTAGCATGATCCAAAAGTGAGTCTGGATGAAGCTACCGAAAAAGACAAATTATTGAAGTGCCATATTTAGATTTCTTTCTGGTGCCTCATTCTGCTCTAAATCATATAAAGTCATTGGTTTCCTCACAGGTTTTCAAAAAGATTTGAAAATGGCATTTAAGGTATTCATGGAAGATTGTTCATTTTATATCTACTGAACCATTTCTATGTTAAGTTGAACATTATTTACTGAAAAAACAAATAATGACTCAGTTTTTCTCACCACAGCCACCTGATTTTTCAGTTAAATAGTCCTAGTAATCCAAAAGGTCCATCATGTCCTCAGTGGGAACAATTTATGGCCCACAGAGTTCAGTTCAGCCCTAAAACTGAACCGTCCCACAAACTTTCTTATGCATTCTCTTACGTAGACATATGTTGCTGCTGAACAGATTTTGGATGCGTTGACAGCCCTGCAGTTCGTTGCCGCTGCCTTCACATGTGCACCACTGGGACACCTCCGTGCTGCTGTTGCTCACATAGTTAGGAGTCATTATGGTTCCTGAAAGACAAAAGTTTAAAACGCTTTAAACAACACTTAGATTTGTTTAAACAACACCTTCCAAACAACGCTTAAAGAATTTGCACCATACAAAACAATTTTAGATTATAAAGTAAGCAGTTGTCTGGTTTTTGATATTTATGACTGCAAGTACCCTAAAGCTTTTGGTGCATTTTAAAACAGAAGGAAATAAAATTATTTTTATGCTCATGCAGATCATCAAGAAATTGTACTTTTGAAGCAAAAGAAACAATATGCTAACTAAATGTTAGAAACACAAAACTGGTCATTTCTGTTACTGGCTTTTGTTATTTTCCCCTCTCAGCTTCTCTATTTCACCTTCTTGTATCTTTTAATTTTTGTTTTCAGCATCTCACCTATGAGTCCAGTATAAGCCTTGAGGCACATGGCTCTGCTCTCTCGCATACAGCCAGAGGCAGAAAGCGAGGACTGCTGACAGTTGTGTTGGAAATCTGCAAACCGGGATCTGCAACACACACACACAGGCACGCAGTGGAGAAAATGGGTTTTCAGAGCGTCAGCACATAAAAACTGAATGCATTTTGAAGTGTTTTGAAAATTTTATTTTGGCACTCAGGGCTGTCATAAATCAAAACAATGACATAAATAGGAAGGGGAGAAAGAGAAGAACCTACTTTTAAAAAATGTTTGGAAATTTGTTGGGTTTTTTTTATCACATCTAACACTTCTTTGTGAGAAAAGTTCAGAAATTAAACCTTTTCTATTTGGATCTCATTTTCAATATATACAGAAAAAACAACACATGAACTGAATACATTGAAATTTCTGGTTGTATTGTGGAAAAAAGTGAAAAAAGTTCAATATTTTTACATAGTCAGTGCATAACAAGTTGGATTAAGTGAATTAAGAAGAACTTTCCAATTTGGATTAGTTTAAAATTGAGGGCTTAGGGAGTGGATCAAACATATTTTTATCTCTTTACTGAAGGAGTGTTTCAGGGCTTTTCCCATTGATTGGCTGAAACTTGTGGCTGCCTTGAGAAACAAAAGAATAAAAGTATTTTCTTAAACAGAATGAACTGTGCTGCTAATAACACACCAGCTTTGCTATATAGCCGCAGAATTTCCTCTTTTTTTTGCCAGCCTTTTTCATTTGGAAAATATAAAGTATATGTCATAACATTAGTACGTGTCACACCTTTTATGCTACAATTTCCCTTATAGTAATTAAAATAAATGACTAAAAGAATAATTAAATGCGTCATTTTCCGTTCCAGGAGAGTCTGCAGGGTGCTCCCCTCTGCTTTGTGCTGTATGTGTCTGAATAAAGTAATCGCCAAGGGTGAGTCTGTAAAGAGTCACAAATTGAAGTCTTTTTTTTTATTATTCCCTGGAAAGTGCACCATGCTGCTTCAGGGGGAAGGAGAAGTCTCTCTCAGGTGGAGTGGTTCAGTTGTCTCCTGGCATTATTCATGACAGATGGGAAAAGAGACCATGAAATTGACCGTGGGTTTGGGTGTAGCTTCTGCTGTGGCTGCTGTACCATGTCTAAGTGGTGAGGGGAGAGCTAAGGCAGAAAGAAAAGCTTTTTCTGATCAGCCAGCCTGAGTCCCTGTGACCTAGAGAGCGTGACTATTAACTAAGCTCTGTAATATCCAAGAATAGGCAAGGCACAGAAGAAATTCTTCCTTTAGCGTTTTGGGATTCTCAGTGGGGATGATGTCCTGGGGCTGACCCGGTACGCACAGGATGGATTTTACAAACCAGTTGGTCTGGGAGCAAGTGGAGATCTCTTAGGAGGAACTGGAGTGAGATAGTAGATATAGACCAGCTTAAGTGTTGCTGAAACCACTGCTCCCATAGCATGACCCTAAATTAGTCCATATATCTGCATAGAAAGTCTAAATAGAACCTTCAAGGTAGCAATTGTGTCCTTAAATATTATTTCATCAATCAATATTATTCATCAATATCTGTATGCTGTGAAAATACATCACTGTGAAAAGATGTACAATATTATCTAATTTTAAAAAGTATTTATCATTTATTGAGTAATATTTTAAGTTTAGAAATGGGTTTCATTTTTTTGCAACAACTGGCCATTTGAGAACATTAAATGTCCTGATATGGCCCAAGATGAAAATTAGTTTATAGATTAAAGATTATGGTATAATCTTTAATAAAGATTATAATCTTTAATCTAAGATTATACCATTTATACTAATTTAATGAGGTGGTCCAATTGAAATGTAACAATAAGGTCACATCTGCTAGTCATGTCATGTGAAATGTTTGTGAACTCTCACCGAAGAACTATTTGGGTTACACGTTCGAGGTTGGAAGGTTGTTTTCCACAGCTGCATCAGAACCAGACCGTCTCACCCCTTGTTTTTCATTCTTGTTTTTCATTCCTTATCCTTCCATAAAACTCAGGTGCGGTCTCTGCCTGGCAGAGCTTTGCGAGCTTTGCATCCTGACTGGCTTGATTATTGATCGTCTTAGGAGCTCTGTGAGTTGTGCACAATTTATGAATAAACCTGATTGAGTGATTCTACCTGAACAGAGCTTGGAAATAGTTTTTCCATGACAGTTGGTGACCCCTAACCCAAAGAATCCAAGGAAAATCAAACCCGATCACAGAAACTCAAAGCAAAAGCATTGAGTTATTTTTTTAATAGACGTCGACATGTTTGTTAAAAAATAAAACATATTTCAGGTTGTAGATCTGCAGAGCTTGTAGCAACTTCTCCCCAGAGACCTGCAGCTACAAATACAGCAGATATGTTTCTAAAATCATTGACTGTGTGGAGCTAAACCTAAATACACTTCTCAAGAACTTATATGTGCATAATTTTGAAATCATGCACTTAACTTGTACTTAAAATTCAGAATAGTGAACTACTTCCATCGGTATATCGTACTCAGCTCCAATAAAAAACATTTTATGCACATTTTAAGTTTGTGGCTATCGTGAAAAAGCATGGAAATTTGAACTGTTATGAATATTTGAGTGAAGTAACGCAACTTCTTTGGAAAGTGGGTAGATGGGTGGTTGCTCAATGCTTTGCAGACTCCACTGCTTCTGTTTCTCTGCACACAGGATCTTACCTACACAGCTCGTCTCTGGAGCAGTAGTTCTGGAGGCTCAGGCAGTTGGGCTTGCCGACTCGTTCCTCCCCTCTTGCGTTCTCCTCAAAGGAACATGATGGCACAATGGTTTTCCTCCGGCGCTCCCCACACAGAGTGTCAGAGCAGGGACAGAAAAGCAGAGCGAAGCTGTACTCCTCTGGCACACGCTCCAGGAAGCGCCGCAGGGCTTTGTGGCATTTCTGGCGGTTGCAGCTGTTGTCGGTGGCTGTTGCTCGCTTGGTGCAAGCTACCACATACTCTGAACGCAAGGAGCCACATTTCTCATACAGGCCGCAGTCCTGAGCAGCCTTCAGACACTGGTTCTGGCCGTCTACGACAACAGAGGAAGCTGCAGGAAGCAGAGAATGGACTTGTTGGTGTGAAATAAAGCAAATAACTTTCTGAACCAACAGGACGTACTCTACCTGCCATAATGGAGGCCATACGCGATACCTCTATGTTTCTCACTAGATTCAGCTTCAGCTCTTCATATGGGGATACTTCATACTCATCATATGCTGAAACGATATTGGACCACACAAATAAGGCAACTGAATTCAAAGAACACCCACGTACAAGTTTGTGTTTTCCACCCACCTGCAAATCTCACAGTCCAGTAAACCTTGAGGCAGTGCTCCTCTCTGCGAGAGCCCCGCTGACACTTGCAGACTTGAAGGGGGCGATAATGCTGCACCGAGTTTTGGGCCTCCAGGCACTCGAGGCGGGCATCTGAACCGAGTGGCGAGACGGCTTCCTCCGCCGCACAGTACTCCAGCAGGTGATAGATGCCTTTGCAGGACGGCTCCTGGACGCAGCCCTGTTCCGCCACCAGACAATCTAAGGACGCAGATACTGTAACACCGCCTGCAGAAGAGGAGAGGTTGACATTATCAGCTGCAAACTCTGCAAACAGGTTCATTACAGACACTATGGATTGCAAAACTAATAAGTAAGGTACAGTGTGCTCAGTTAGTTATTAATATCCCATGATCTGTGAAGGTCAGCGGCTAATAAATCAAGTTCATCCTTTCAACAAAAAACATGTCCAGCTGCACTTCACCTGTCAGAGCTGAGGCTTGTAGTTTATGTTCTGGTCAAAAAGTCAAGTCAAGCCCAAAGTTTTTACAATTAATGTGCAACTTGAGGGTGAAACTCAAGTCTCCATCTCAGCCAAGAAGCAGGTTTGTAGTGATAGAGCCTCCTATAAAGTAACATATACTAAAATAAAATGTTTTTAGATTATATGTGGTACATACAACACTTCAATAAAATTATTAATCATAAACTAAAACAGGCTGTTAACCAGCTGATCTCAGGTTTCAGGCATAATGTTAAAAAAATCTAAATCAGTGCAGAAACCTGGCTTGTCAAGCTTATAATCCAACTGATGGCAAAAGTTTTAAAAAGCTGGAATTTTTCAGCTGCACGAGCAAGCTCTTTCACAATAAAACACCATTACCTTATTTGGGTGCAGAAAAATATTTAGTTGACATTTTTCTTAATGGTTTTGAGAGTCAAGTATTAAACCACCTCAAAATGTCACCTGCACAGAGCCAAATTATTCATGAAGATAAAGGCGGATTGTTGACCCAAATTAAGATCAAAGTTTTATTATCTGACAAGAAAAAAAAAAGTATGACATTGTCGCAATGTTCTCCAATATTACTTGCATAAGAAGGAGATCCCACTGGGAGATCCTTTCCACATGGTACAGAGGATGAGGTGAAATCGTGATCTTGAAGCTTTTTGTTTTAGGTTCTGCAAAGAGTGAAACTGGAGACTGGAGGTGTTTATCCCTCTTCACCGAGGGTTTTCCTCTGAGTGGGAGGTCAGTGGATCTTTAGCAGGTGCAGTTCACGACACTCGTCTGACAAAACACTTCTGAATCTCGTTCAAAACATTCAAGAAATTTTGAAAAGAAAAACAATTAGCAGAAGAGACTGTAGATGTCCTTTGTGAAGCCACCTTGACCACATGGAGGAACGCTCACATAATAATTACATTTTTTCACTGTTAGCTCAGGTTTTTGTTAGTTTTTTTATGTAATGGTTTTAATGTTTTGCTCAGCTTCTTAATGGTTTTCTCAACTATATTCCTCCTTACAAGTCAATGGTAGACTGTGTACACTAATAACAGTTCCTATATTTTCTAATCTGTGAAACTCTCAAATTATTTGTGAGAACAAAATATTTTTATTTCTAGTTTTTTGAAAGCATTGCCACCAGCTTGTCTCTTGAGCAAAAGTTATCGTTAAAACTCTTTTCTGCCTAAATGGTCTCACTGTATTCCACTGTGAGACTTACTGCAGAGTTTTGGTGAGTCTGTGAGGCCTTGCTTTTGGTTGCCAAAGCAAAATGCTTTCTCTTTTACAAGCATTTTGTTTTACTGTTGTTTATTTTGTGGAAGTAATTGACCAAGGTCTTGGTAATAACGACACACTTATTCCAGCCACTTTTGCCTATATTTAATCAGCTAATACAAACACATGTACAATAAAAATTTTACACTGTTAAGACACAATACAGTAATGTCAGATTCCTGGCAATGTTCAGTGCTGAGCCATATTGATGTATTTCATGAGTCATACTGGTAATGAAGTCTTTTTTTTTTACAGGCGATAATTTATCTAGATTCCCAAGTGCAGGATTACATTTGCTGACATCCTTCCAAAGCACATTTTCAAGATTGATTTCCCTTCTTTCTGATTTCACAGATGTTCACTTCGCTGGAACAACGTTTCAAGCCTTTATTATTTTGACAAACCTTATTTTCATCACCGGATTCATCACTGGAGAGCTTCTTGGATTTAGCAGTCCAGCAGCATTGCCTTCATAAGCTTGGCATAAATTTTGGCGAATAGACAGCCTCACGCACACAAACAAACAAACAAAAAAAAAGAAAAGAAATATGAAAATGATAATTTTCTGCCTCAAAAGCGATGCTGTTCAGCAGCCAACTCTCAAATATTAGATGTGTCTAGAATGCACAAATCCTCAGAGTTTTTTTTTCTAAAACATCATTTGAACTACTCCATTTATCATCACAATAAAACTTGCATTGTAATGAGAGTCATTAGACTCCGAAGGATAAAAGATGTTGAAAAACTTTGATATGCTTATTGTACTTCATGTGTTGTAGGGTCATACATGTAATTTATTTGGAAAGCATATATTGTTGACTAACACCGTAACAGTGAGTGTGAAAACCTTCTTTAACAGAAATGCATTTATTTGGAAAAAGCATTTTAACCGGCATCAAACACCGCCTCCAGATGCAACACCTCTGTGAAGCTAAAAACAGTTTAACACAATTCAGTTTTGGAAACAGGCCTACAGTTATTGAGCATAATAAATTAAAGACAACAACTGATACAATGATGCATTTCAAAAGACAGGCAAAAGGAGAACAGTGTGGTTATAAAAATAAATCATAGTCACAATTAATTAAAGAATTATTTTGGTATAGTTCTTTAACATAATATGTCCATTAAATGTAGGAAAGAAATGGTGTTTACTGCACACAAAGTTAATATTTACTTGAAATATTGACTTTCATTTGAGAAACATGGTAGTTGGAATTAAACTCCAAATCACACTTCAGTAAAGTGCCAATATGAAATCACTTCTCAAAAACCCAACTCCTACAACAACCACAGGATCTGATCCATATTCAAGAAATTCCAGTCAACTTTTTGTTCTTTTCATAGTACAGAGATCATTTTCACAAATCATCCAATCCTACCACTCCATTGAACTCACAGACTTTGCCTGCAGCTAGTTCCAGTCTTATCTCACAAATCATTTCTCTTTGACACTTACTGTCACATTACGGGTATCCGATGGTTTAGTCCTTCACCTATTCTCTTCATCATCATCGTCCATCTTCTACTTTCTCTTGATCAAGTCACCATCTTGAATAGGATTTCATTTCACCGTCATGATGATGCAACCAATTATATGTCAAAACCAAAGCTGCACTTCCAGTCATCACCATGTTATCTCCAAAAGATGACATCTTTTGCTAAGATGAGAGAAATATTGCAATTCATTAAAATTGCAAAGTCAAGATTCAAACGTGGTTACAGATACTACAAGGCGACAAACCAAAATATTTACACTCTACAATACATAGCTATTAATCCTCAGTGCTCCTTTCAATTCAGAACCACAACAGCCCGCCATCTATAGAAATAAAGAGTAGGGTTGTTTTGACTGAAAATGTTCAAACTAGAAAGAGTGAAAAGCCACAAATCACTCCATAATGATGATTGTTGCCCCATTACAGGCAGAAAGCAGAAAAGACAGAAGCTGCCTGAGGGAAACAATGAGAAAAAAGCTCTTTGTGAGTGAAAAATGTATTTTATTAAAGCTCTTCTGGAAATTTGTTATTTTTAATGTGACACCTAATTAGCCTTACCAATTTATACCCATATGATCTCAGTCTAGGAAAGAACATAAACACTTCTTGTGTTGATTTTATGAATTTGTTGTACCCTTTTATCAGTAAACCACACACAGAAGACACTAGCAAACACATAAAGTGTGTTAGAAATAAACGTAACGAAGGACGGCTAACAGATCCATACCTGTCTTTTTATCACGTGTTCTCACTGGCTCAGCTCATAAACATAAACATATAATCCATCATGTCAGTTCATGCACAGCTTTTGAGTTCGACTGGGTTCGCACTTCGATTAAGCTCCTGCTGACACGTGGCACAAAGCACGGCTGCAATTCAATTCTGCTGCTGCATGTTTTGTAATCTCAGGCACCACATGAGGTCCATGTCTCGCTTTGGTATAAGACATATCATGAACAGAAGCTATGTTTCATCCCCGCAGCAGGACAACCTCCAAAGCCGCCACACAGAATCCATAGGAGGAGGTGGGACGAAAAAATAGTATCACGGCAGTGAATCATAGTCACAGCGCCGCGTGAAGTGTAAAGGAGATCATTACCTGTCTATCTGTGAGTCTGCCTATGTATTATTGCTAATTGTACCAAAGTGTCAAATCCCACTGTGTTGGGCTGCGGTTTAAACAAGCTTCCTATAATCTTCTGTATGCACAGAGAGCACTTTGTTTTCTTCTATTCTTACCACAGACGAAACAAAGAGCCAACAGTCTAATAGCAAAGAATTGCAATTGTATGGAGACAATTTATGTTGTATGTAACTGGGATTTTGAGTAACAGATCAACACAAAGTAGTCCATAATTGTGAAGTGGAAGTCATATAGACTCATATATGACTCATATAGTCATATAGAGTCATAATGGCCTTCAACATTTTTGCAAACAGCAATCAGAAAAGTGAGGCATGGATTTAAAATTATCTCTGCAGTATTGCAAGTGTTTCCAGGTTTGCCTCTATTGGTTTGCAAAACTGAAAACTGAAATGCTGCTAATTTGCCTTTAATATCTTGTGTTCAGTCAGATTGGGTGACGTCTGTGTTCAGTTTCTGTCTTAATTTTCAAGTCCTGAAACAAATTCATGGAGGTCCATTTAAGTCTTATAGAACTGTTTTATTTTATTTTGTTCCAGAGAAGTGTGACTCCTTTTGAATAATTATTTGACTTCTAAAGGCATCTGAGTGCAGTGATTTTATGAAAAGGAGTCATAGCAAAAGTTGGCTACAGAAAATGCATTTAACAGTTTTAAAATAAAAGCCATCATTTTCATTCAGCTTCATATTTATGAACTATTTTGTGTTTGTCTTTTCTATAAAATCAACATAAAATGTACTTTTGTTTGTAGTCATAAGAGAAAAAAAGACTTTACGGTGGGAAGACAAAGTAAATTCTGCAATGCAAAAATGTTTCACAAAGTAGAAAGCCTGATTGAGAAAAATGTTAGACAGAGGCTAA